TCATCATCATCTTCATCATCATAATCATCATCATCATCATCATCATCATCATCATCATCATCATCATCATCATCATCATCATCATCATCATCATCATCATCATCCTTCTCCTCCTCATCCTCCTCCTCCTCCTTCTCCTCCTCCTCCTCCTGCTTGGTCCCTCATCATGTTCCGCTTCTCACCCGCCTCCCTCTCGTCGTCCGTCCTCCGTGTGTCCCTCCCCCTCCCCCTCGTCCCCCGTCTGGCTGCGGGCGTCCAGTGTTCTGAGGGCCGGCGGGCCATTACAAGGAAGTATGTGTTTCGCCCGCCAGTTGAGCCGATGTTTCGCGTGTGGACGTGGTCGATCGTTCGTTGGCCTCCTCCTCCTCCTCCTCCTCGCCCGCCTCCTCCTCCTCCTCCTCCTTATCCTCCTCCTCCTTGGCCTCATCATGAAGTGAGCACGGTCGATCGTTCGTTGGCCTGACAGCGTGGTCGGTCGGTTGTTGGTTTGCATGGCCAAAGGCCACCAGTCGCCGTGGAGATAGCATGGTGAATCGATCGTTGGCCTCATTGGCCGAAAACCATCAGTCATGGTGCAGGCATCCATGAACGATCGTTCGCTAGCCTTCCTGGCCGAAGGCTATCAGTCATCGTTGAGACAGTACGGTCGATGTTTCTTTGCCCTTAGGCCAGAAGTCGCTGCTGCATCAGGGAGGCGAGGAGGGGGGTGGGGGGGCAACGAGTGGGTGGAGCAGGGCAGATCGGGGGCGCGATGTGCGCGGCTGTTTTTGTTGTGTGGTGTGCACGCGGCTCGGGCAAGCGCGCGGCAGGGGATGCCCACCAGGTGTCCTGATCCCCCGCTACGGATGCAGTTCTGCGGCGGCGCCGCGTTGACATCCTCTGGCTCCAAATTCGAACGCGTGGCAAATCGGGAGCGCGAGTTGTGCAGCCTCGGGTCGCCTGGCGCGGGCGCATGCTGGAAGCCACCTTGAGCGAGCCTGCCCTATATTGAACCATCTGGCAGGCAGACATTGGGCTTCATTGCACGCTCTTGACCCATACGAAACTATCTGGTCCCCTCCAACGAAGAGGACGGGCCGACGAGGGAAGGGGAGGCCGCGTAGATCGGCATTCCCGCTTGTTTGTTGTGGCCGTGCCTCAGCGGCAGCTCGGTATGAGGGGAGCTCGGCAGCGTCCTCCTTGCCTTGAGGGAGGCCAGCGCCACATTTCCGTTCACGCCGCTGGCAGCCACGACCTCCTCCCCCGTTGACTACGCGCTGCTGCCCGCTGACCAGGCCTGCTCCCAGGCCGGCACGCAGGACACGACCAGCTCCGCGGAATGCTCTGGACGTGCTGGGGCCGCCGTCGGCCTCGCTTCTGCAAAAGCACCACGGCCTGCAGTGGAGACCCATGCCAAGAAGCACCCCGCTTGCCTCCAGAGTGCCGTGGGTTTCTTGGGTTTCGATGATTTTGCTGTAGGAGGCGTGACGTCCCCACACCAGTGGACTTCCTGGGGCCTCAGAGTTGGGTTCCTTGTGGAAGGTTCCTTGTGGTCGAGCTCCTACTGTACACGGGAGTCCTGGTGGCGTCTTGCCCCCCCCCAGCCGTGCGGCGAGGAAGAGTGGCACACTCCGCCGCCCTGCGCTGTTGCTGCGCGGGGGGGAGGAAGGGTGCGGGCTCGGCGCGCCTGAGTGACGTGCCGATGCAAGCTCGACGCTGAGATCCGGGCGTTGCAATGCTTCCGCACCGTGCGCTGTCGCCTTGTTTCGAGCCCTGGGGCCATCGCAGAGCGATCAGAAACGGAAAATGCCGCACAAAGATGGGGTCTACGCCCCTTTTGGAAAGGCAGCGCAACGTTTGCAGGTCGCGTCGAAAAATCGTCCAGGGGGCTTCCATGGGAATAGTTTTTCAAACCGGACCCCTTTTCCGAAGGTCTCCGGACCCGAAAATGGCCCCCTAGAGGCCACAAACGACGAAGAACCGAAGACGACGAAATCAAAGAAGTCGGCCCTTCAAGTTGTAGTACCTTTCCAGTGCAGTGCAGGGTTGAGCTCCGGATTGTTCGCGATGTTGCATGTTTTATCCGCGACGTTGGATCTAAGGGACGGCACCTCTCCCTAGCTCCGCCACGCGACGTCGCCCGAGCAGCCGAGTTGGTCGAGGAAAAGGAGGAGGAGGAGAGGAGGAGGAGGGGGAGGGAGGAGGAGGGAGGAGGAGGAGAGTCGACGTTCGAGAATGGAGGACCGAGATGATTACAGTATACAGTTTCGCATCTTATCGGCGACGCGATCGGCCACGCAATATTTTGAGGTAGCTCAGTGGCCTCATGATTGCGTCGCCGAAGCTTTCATCGTGATCTTGAGAAGTATGCATGTTCACAGCTTCTCGGGCCTCCAGACTTCTCTGGGGACTCCGGTGTCATTGACTCAATGCCCACGATGCCCCCAGAGGCGTCTGGAGGCACATCTCTGCCTCTTCTCTTTCTTTCCCTCTCCAAAAGGTTTTGAGAGAGGGAAAGGAGGGGAGATAGGGAGAGCACGGGAGCGAAACGGGATAGGTTCTGGCCCACCACGCTCAAGCGCGACATGCTAACCACGCTCCGGTCCCAAATATTCAACGTCTACAGTTTTTACCGGCCTCCCAGGCAGAGCGAGACACTATCCGCTTGCAGGGCATGGCATGTCGCCGGCGCCACCGCCGCGATACGGTAAGCAAAAGCTCCTGACCGTAAGGGGCTTAGGATTGGAGCACGACGGTCAGCGCGCACGGTATGGACGAGTATTATCCCCAGGGGTGCCATTCCATTTTTGCCTATTCGGCCCATTCTTAGACAATCCTCAGCGCAAGACGCTTCAACTTGGGCTACTGTGCCTCCTCGTGATACGCGTTGCCTGCACTGGCGGTGGCTGAGCAGACGCAGGAGACGGGAGCTCCTGCCAGAGCCCTCAGAGTCGGGAGGGAGAGCGCCTGGATGATCCGAACGATGGGGCGCGCACAAGCAGCGCTTGCCCCCCCCACCTCCTCGGCACACCTCGGCAGAAGGTGGGCAGGGGAGGAGGAGGAGGAGGAGAAGGAGGAGGAGGAGGAGGAGAAAGATGAGGAGGAGGAGGAGGAGAAGGAGGAGGAGGAGGAGGTGGAGGGGGAGGAGGAGGAGGAGGAGGAGGAGGAGGAGGAGGAGGAGGAGGAGGAGGAGGAGGAGGGCTCAGAAAGGTGGATGCTTCGGGCAGGCGGGAGGCCAGGGGGCGGGACCGGCCCACGAAGGCCGAGGCGCCGAAGGCTCCGAGGAGAGGACTCCGAGCCTCGAGCCGCCGCTGCCCCCCGCGGCTTCTCTCCGCGCCGAGGGCGCGGCCCCGCGGGCTGCAGGGGGGAGAGGGGGGGCGGGGGGGCCGAGAGCCCACAGGCGGGGCCTTGGCCCAGGCCTCCTCCTCCTCCTCCTCTCCTCCTCCTCCTCTCCTTCTCCTTCTCTTCTCTCCTCCTCTCCTCTCTCCTCATCCTCCCTCTTCCTCCCTCCTCCTCCTCCTCCTCCTCCTCCTCTCCTCCTCCTCCTCCTCCTCCTCCTCCACGCGTTCGCGCCTTCCGCACACGCCTGCCCAGGCCGCGCTGTCCACGAGCAGGCTGGAAGTGCCCCTGGCCCAGGGTGCCCCCCCCCCCCCCCGCTTTCCGCTGCCCTCTGAGCTCCTGGGGCCTCCTGGGCCTCGCGAGGGGTGCTCCTGGAGGCCGTGTGGGGGCCTCCCTGGGAATCCTGGGGGGGGGGGGGGGAGGGGCACCTTCGGCCAGGGGCACTCCCAGCCGCACCCGACCGCAGAGGCAGCAGCAGCAGTCCCGCCAGGCCCCCCGGGAGCGCGAAGGCGCGCTCCGCGCGTCGCGCGGCCCTGGGCGCCAGAGCGGCCGCCCTGCTCCGGAGGGGCGGTGGGCGGCGCGAGGGCGCCCGAGGCGAGCGCGCCCTCGCGGGGGCGCGAGGGGGCGAAGCCGGGCGGCCCGGCAGCAGGCGGAGGGCGGGGGGCGGGGGCAGCGGGGGGCACGGGCGCAGTGCACGGAGCCCGCCCTTGGCCTCGAGCCGGGGGGGGGGGGGGGGGGCAGGCCGCGCCGCCCAGCGGCGGCGTCGCGCTCCCGAAGCTGGGCGGCAAGGGCGGCCCGCCGAAGGGCAAGGGGAAGGACGAGCGCGCCCAGCTCTGCCCCGCCGCTCTTCCCTCTCGCTGTCCGTCGCTGCGTGTGGCGTGGCCTCCCGGGTGAAGCGGAGGGACCGAGCTCGCTCGCTCGCTCGCCTCTGCCCCGCTGCCTCCCCGCTTGCCGCTGCATCTGCCCAGGTTTCTGAGCTGGGGCCCGGGCAGGCGGGGTCGGGGCATCGCGCCGCATCGCCGACGCATCGGCGAGTTGGCTCGGTGTGGAGCCCGATCTTCTCCACGCCGACGGCGCCGCTGCATCGGCGATGTGGCGCGATCCTCCGATCCCATGTTGGACACTCTAATCTGCCGTTTGGGTTTTTCGTTTCCGGCATCGGTATCGGTCCCATCGCGGTACAAGGAGCGCGCGTCGCGAATGGCTTCGCTACATAGGTAGCATGCGTTCTTGTGATAAGGTAGTGAGATCTGATGTTTCTCTGAGGTCTCCATACAAAAGATTGCCGACAGCATTCTGACTCGCATGGAAAGTTCCTTGCAGACAATCTGGACCAGATCGCTGTCAGAAGCGGAAATTAGCCCTCGCTGCCTCATCCATTGCAGCTCTGCCACTTCCACCCTCATTACCCCTGTGCCCATTCCATCGCCCACCAATCGCTTCACAAGCACGCAATCTGAATAGTCCCCCATATATTCCCTGATACTGTCCAGCGTTGCCGCCGCCTCTTTCCACGTACTTATTGTCTCATGCACAGGATGTTGTATCTGGGTCTTCCCTATGGTTGATTCGATCAGAGTGTTGTCGGTCTTTCAAGTATGCTGATCACTTTGCAGCGTTGGTCGTAGTTCAGGATCGGTCGGCTCTTTGCCACCGTCGTTCAGAAAGGCGATCGCGCCACAGCGTGGGCCACTTTTCTGGATCCAAGTCCTTCCTCGTCGTTGCCACCCCACTCCTTTCCCCTCATCCGCTTTCACCTTCTTCTCCAGCTCCTCCCACTCCTCCTGTTCCTGCTGCTGCTCCTCCTCATTACTTTTCCTCCTCTTTATCCTGGTCATCCTCAAGCTCATCCGCAACCGTCTCCTCCAATGTACATAGCACCCCCTTCTGATCGCGAATCAGACGATGGGGCAATCTTGGGTATCAGGGTCCTCCAGGACACCCCAGCTGGCGGAAAGGACCAACGATTCAAACAGGATTGCCCGAGGAGTTCTGCTTCAATTCGTTGGCCTGGCCTGGGTGCCCCCCAAAAAGCATTGCACCCTCGGCTCGAGGAGCCGCCACGGCTCGAGGCCGCCGCCGTGGCCGCACTTCGGCCGCCACCGGGCGCCTCTCCGGGACGCCCCGGCGACGGGCCCCGACGCGGCCGCCCCCGGGGCGGCCTTCGAGGGCCACGGGCCGCCCCCGGAGGCCTCCGCGGAGGACTCCCTGGATGTCCTGCTGGGGGGGGGGGGGGGCGGCAGGCGCCGCGGCGGAGGGCGCCGCGGAGGAGGGGCGGCGGGGCCGCCCCGCGTCGGCGGGCAAGCGGCTCGGGCAGGCGGTAGCCTGCCCGCGCGGTGCTCGGCCTGTCTGGCCTGGCGCCGCTCGCCCTATGGGCAGGGCGACGGCGCCGGGCGGGGCCTTGGCGGGCCGGCTGTCCGACGAGCGCTGGTGGCGGCGGGCGGCCCCGAGGCGCCGAGCAGCGTGGCGGCGGCGCTGCAGGGCGCCGGCAGCTCGACGGCGACGTCAGGCGCCGGCAGCTCGATGGCGGCGCCGGGCTCGAGCGGCGCTTCGGCGGCGCTGGGTGCGAGCAGCTCGGCGGCGGCGCCTGGCACGAGCAGCACCACGGCGGCACTCGGCGGGCGCGGGGCGAGAGTGCCCGAGAAGCCGCTGCTTCCGCCAGTCGGCTCCGCACTTGAGAGCTGCAGGGAGCGTTGCCTGCGGGAGGTGGCGGAGGGCCCCCAGGACTCCTCGAACACCCGCATCAGCAGCAATCCTTATGCGAAGGTGCTTGCCGAGAGCGTCAAGAAGGCGTTGTACGGCATGCACCCGGACGACCTGCAGGAGCTCCTCCAGAGGGCGCGGTACGATATGGACATGCGGTACAGCTCAGGCTCCATTATCAACAGCTGGTTTAGCAAACGCATTTCCAGCTACGTCGAGCACCGGGAAAGGGAGAAGTCCCTGCAATGCGATCACAGTATGTGACAGGCCGACGGATTCCGTTGCCCAGATGGCTTCTGGGGAATTGATGGGATCAATATGATTCATTTGGAGCGCGACGATTGGAAGGTTCAGCGCGTTCAGAAGTCCGCCTGCATGCAGGGGTTCGATATTAATTGGTCCAGAAGCATCTGGCCTGGAGTGAATGGCTTCGAGCACCCCGAGATCATCAGCATGCTGTGGCGGTCGGGTAGATTAAGGATCCCAAAAGGCAGAGTGGGCGCTGCGCTCGGTCACATAACGCTTTTGGAGGGCCTGCAAAGCCAGATAGGCCCAACAGATATAGTCTTAGTAATGGAGGACATCGCGTTCTTCAATTCTGAGTCTGTGTCGGGGATGTGCTTGTCGATCAAGGCGGCGGGTGATTTCGACTTCCTCGGCTTGACAGTCCTCAATCCAAAGGGCACCACTATCAACGAAGACCTTGGGCTTCGGAGAGTCACGAAAGGTACGGTTCAGTAGCCGATACCCAATGTTTAGCTGTCCAGCTGATTGGTGACGGGCGCGGGCGCCGCCAAGCTGCTGGAGTGCATCAAATCTCAGAGGCAGAACTACGCCAGCAAAATTATCGACCGGGTCTTATCGCAGCAGTGCCTGACTGGGGACAAGAGCATCAATGCCGTCGTGGTCGACCATCACCGCTTCTTCGGTCACTCGGAGTCGGGGGGAGATTCACGAAAGAAGTTGAATTCCAAGAGGCCTTCCAACTCAAAGCGCTAGAGACAATACGATGACCCATCTTCCACTTTTCACAGTTCGTTTCACCCGTCGGCGCCAAGAAACCACGTCTTCTCGTGCGCAATATAGTGCAACCCGCGAATACCTCTTTCGCCTCTTTCCCCCGACCAGTCGGTGGTACATGTTCGTTGCACCATATCTTGTTTGTGGTGTTGTTGGGAGGAAAGATATGTTGCATCCTTGCAATAGGGCCTTACGCTCCTGTACTGACGCTTGCCGTCGTCCTTTGAGAAGTTGTGTTTCGATCAGTCGTTGGTCCAAAGCTCTTCTCCATGTTACGCGCTGGACAATCGATTCCCAGGTATGTCCATGGATGTTCGTGTGTTTGCCTATGGCAATGGGCGCTTCGGTATGGCAATGGGTCCCATGGGTACGGTTGTATATCCCTTGGCTGTTGCGGTAGACCCCTTGGGCATTGCAACATTCCTGCAACCCGTGTTGCGTGCATCCCTTGGGCACTGCAACATCCCCTGGGCACTGCAACATGCCTGCATCCAATGTTGCGCGTGCATGCCTGCAGCAACTTGCACGAGCGGCGACTCGCAGAAATCACCGAGCGGAGACTATCCGCCACTTGGGTGCGTAAGTAACTTAAGTGTTAGTAGCGTGTGCAAACTCTTGTTTAGGAACCCGAGTGGTTCTTCACTTGCCCGGAATAAGTGGGATAGCAGGTTGTGTATGTGGGCAGGGCCGGCCACCGGTGGGACAATTTCGTTAATTCCCCCAGCGGTGACCGATTACGTGTACAAGTTTCCATAGGCTTAGTTATAAAGATTGTATCTATCCGCCGCACGCGCGGCCGAGACCTTGTCTGTCCATGGCTTCTGCGTTTTATTGAATCGCTTCGCTCATTACGCCGGCCCCGTACTGTGCCATCGCAGGCGTTTTCCCGCGCGTTCGTGGCCTATTGGTGCCTTTGGGGGGCCGTTTGGGGGCCTCCTGGGGCCTCGTTTTGGGCCTCTTGGGGGCCTCGTGGGGTCTCTCGGGGGGCTTCTGGAAGCTTCTTGGGGCCTCCTGGGAGCCTCTTGGGACCGAGGGCTCGACATGTCCGTTCGGTTTCCCCGTCTGGCCCCCTCTTGGGGCCGTCCTGCGGATATATTGGGCCGTCTTGGAGGCCTCTTGAGCCGTCTTGGGGCCCTGTGGGAGAGCTATTGAGTCTTCCTGGGACGATCTTGGAAGCGATTTGGGCCGTCAGGGGCCAGTCTTCGGGGCCTCGTCGGCCGTCTGGGAGAGTCGCAGCTCCGAAAAGCGGAGAGGGCTAAACAGTACGAAACAACTAAAGGAAATCACACATTTTTGCCTCACGGGGCCCTGTCGGAAGTGCTGTTGGAAGCGTCTTGGCGGCCGCTTGGGCGGTTGTGGCGCCACCTTGGGCATCGTGGGCCGAAGGGCTCTTGGACCGTCTGGGCTCTCTCTTCAGGCCGTCTTGGGCGCCTCTTGGGCCGTCTGGGGGGCCTCTGGCATCTCTAATGAGCACTTGCCGGGGACTTGCCGGGACCTTGGCGGGGTATTTGTCGCGTCGGGGCTCCCAGGGGCCGCCTCGCGCGCGCGAACTTGTTAGATCGTTAACTTGTTTCCAGAGATCTTAGCACGCCTCTGGCCCGTTGGGCCGGCGAATTTTCTTTGTGGGCCAGACACGTATCGGCCACGCGGCCAGGACATCCTGTGGCATTCTAAACGGGCTGTTCACAGCCACTCATGCAGAATTTTCACCTGTGGATGAATGCTGTTTTGTCGATTTCTTCCATGCAGGCGCCTTGGCGCCCCCTCCGCCGCGCCTTCATGGCGCCACACGCGCGGAGTCGAGTCCGAGTCCGATTCCGAGGGCACTGCAACATGGCAATTGATGATCGTGTGTTTGCATATTTGGCTTGAAAGCTGCTTAAATATTCCTGTGTTAAGGCAATTGGCCTTGCTTGCTTGTCTGCTTGCTTGTTCCTTGGATAAGTCAATGGGTTCCTTGGATATGCCAATGGATCCCGTGGGCGAGTCAATGGATTCCTTGGATGTGCGAATAGATCCCATGGGTCTGCCACTGGATTCCTTGGGTATGTCCATGGATCCAATGTGTCTTCCTAGTGACTTATATGGATCCCCAGGGTGTGAAAATGCGTTGCTGTGGTATGCCAATGGATCCATTCACTATGGATTCTAGTGGGTGGTCCACTGGATCCCCTGGGCATTGTACAGGATGCGCCACTGGAACCTATCAAGCCCAGTGGAGTCATCGGATCTCCAACGGAATTCATTGGAGTCCATTGGAGTTCGTTAGGTCAGTCTGACCATTCCTAGCTGGAGCCAACGCTGGTTGATTATTCAGCGCAACGGCAAGGGATGGGTGGGAGGGGTAAGATGTCAAACATGACGTAAGCGCACCTTCCTTGCCTTCTCTCCCGCCCTTCCCTCTCCCCTCCGCCTGCCCCCCTGTCCTTGCCCCATCGCTCGGCTTGACTCTCCCATCCCTCGCTTGCCTCTCTCCCCGTGCCCTCCGACCCCGCCCCCAGTGGCCACGCTTCGTCGACTCCTCCTGCGGCGGTCTGATAGCCCGCGCCGTGGTGCCAACTGCATTGTGCACACTTGCCGACGCACACGTGCCTTGATGATTATGGTGGTGATGACGATGGCGATCGTGATAATGGTGATGATGACGGTGACGGTGATGGTTATAATGACGATGACGATGATGTCGATGACCACTCGCATCGATGATGTTGCTGCTGAAGTTTATAATGATTATGATGGTGGTGGTGGTGATGGTGATGATGGTCACGATCATGATCCTATGCATTGCCATGGAAATGTTAATGACGATGGTGCTGATAATATTGATGATGAGGGTGATGATGAGGGTGATGATCATGATAATGAGCATGATGATGCTGGTGACGATGATGCCGATGCTGATGCGGATGCCGATGGTGATGGTGGTGATGATTATGACGATGATGCTGATAATAATAATGATAATGAGGATGATGGTGGTGATGATGGTTATGATGGTAGTGGTGATGGTGGTGATGATAATGGTGGAAATTCTAGTGACGACGACGGTAGTGATGGTGGTGGAGATGAGGATGGCGGCGGTAATGATGATGTTGCTGATGCTGATGCCGATGATGATGATGATGATGATGATGATGATGATGATGATGATGATGATAGTGATGATGGTGGTGGTGGTGATAGTGATGATGATGGTGAAGGTGACGATGACAATCATGGTGATGATGATGGTGGTGGTGATGGGAGTAGTGGTGGTGATGATGATTATGGTGCTGCTGCCAATGATGATGCTGATCATGAGGATGGTTGTGGTGATGACGATGGCGATGGTGATGCTGAAGGTGATTGTGATGGTGATGGTGGCGATGACGATGGTATTCACGATCAGTGGTATAGATGGTGATGATGATGCTGAGTATGATGATGAGCACGGCGATGAGCATGGCGGAGACGGTGATGATGGTCATGTTCATGATCATATGCATGGTCATGATGATGACGGTGCTGACAATATTGTTGGTAATGGTGACGATAATGACGATCATGACATGATGGTGGTGCTGCTGGTGGTGATGCTGGTGATGATGATGATGCAGCTGAGTACAATGGTGATGCTGATGACATTCATGTTGAGCACGATGATGCTGATGGTGATAGGAATAGAGATGATGATGGTGGTGGTGATGGTTCTAATAGTGGTGATGATGGTGGTGGTGATGGTGGTGGTGATGATGGTGATGATGGTTATGATGATGGTGGTGATGATGGTGGTGATAATGGAGATGGTGGTGATCATGCTGTTCCCGATGCCGATGATGATGATGATGACGATGGCGATGACGAGAATGGTGGTGATGATGGTGGTGGCGATGAAGATGCTGATGATGATAACGATGCTGGTGACGATGACGATGATGATGATGGCGATGCGGATGCTGATGATGAAGGGAAATGAGGAAGAGATGATACTGACGATGCTGATGATGATGACGATGATAATGATAATGCTAAGGATGATGATGAAGATGTGGATGATGAGGAGACGGAGGATGATGGTTATGATGACGATGGTGAGAATGAGGAGGAGGAGGATGATGATGAATAATGATGATGATGGTGATGGTGATGGTGATGATGATAACGATGATGATGATGACGATGGTGATGATGGTCGTGGTGGTGATGATGCTGGTGATTATGATGATAATAGCGATGATGATGCTGACGATGATGATGATGATGGTGATGATGACGACGATGACGATTTTTATGGTAATGATAGTTTTGATGATGACGCATCATCACCATCATCACCACCATCAGCATCAGCAGCAGCAGCATCATCGTTTCACCTCGCCTTCTGGCCCCCTGCCGCCTCGCCAGGGGCCGCCCGCTACGAAGGCCGCCGCGCCGGCCCCCGGAGGCCTCCGCCGCGGCCGCGCGGCAGCGGGAGAGGGGAGAGCCAGATCGCAACCCAGGGGGAGAGGGGAGAGGAGCAGGGGCAGGGGAGAGGGGAGAGGAGCAGGGGAAGGGAGGAGGATCGGATCGGATCGACTCGGCAGGAGGAAGCGTCAAGATGAGGGAGGGAGGGAGGTGTAAATGTTTATGCTGTTGGCCGACCGAAGCAAGTGCCCAGGGACCGACGCAAGCGGTACTTGACCGCGGCCATTTGGCTCCCAGGGCGCCCTTGAGCCGGTAGCAAGCTACTGGTATACACGCCAGTGTGTCTGTGCTCACAGAGCACTACTGTACAGAACCCATCAGGGGCTCACCATCTTGAGGAGGATCATTGAGACTGTCGGTGTTGGTCAAGACAAAAAGGAGAGCATCACAATATTCAGCGAGGCTTCCGCCAGCGCCGACGACTCAGTTGGTAGCAGAGCCGGTCTGCCTCCACGGGCATGACGACAGAATATCAGAAGCATGAGACGGTGCCATCCAGGGACGGGGATGTTGCTGGCTTCGACTCTTACGTGATGCGGGTCAAGATCTATGTGCGCGGGACGAAGAAGGACGAGAAGGGCCTCTGCGGGCCCAGATTCAGGCTGAACGGTCGCGCCTGGCAGGGAGTCCAGAAGTACGACAGGTTGGAGAGCCTTGACGATGTCGAGGGAGATCCTGTGGCGAAGCTGCCGAAGGGTGTGAGCCAGTTGCTGCAGTATCTCAAAATCAAGAGTGGCATCCTGGAGGTCGAGGATGCTAGCAAGTATTTGCGCACGTTTATGAAGGAGACGTTCCGCAAGAGCAGGACGGCCATGAGGGGCTATATCACTCAATTCGAGGTCAAGGAGGATGGAATGCACAAGGCAATCAAGACGATCGACCAGACCTTCGATGAGAAGAAGCAGATTTTCCCAGAGTCCCTTCGAGCGTGGTTTCTGCTGGAGAACGCGGGTCTCGACGACCATGAGAGGTCCCAGGTGTTGGCATCAGCGCATAAGTATCAGAAGATCCAGCAGGCCCTCGGCATGCAGTTCGACAAGAAGCACGACAGAGAAGGCCACTACAACAAGGGCCAGAGGCCGCAGTGGCAGAGCCGCAAGAACTACGCGGCCGAGGGTGAGGACGAGTACTACGGAGAAAATGGTGACGGTAACGAAGAAGAGCCTGGACAGCTGGACACACAGAATGACGACGCCACCGCGTACGCTATGGCGAAGGATGAGGACGTGAACTACCAGTTGCAGGACATCTACGACCAGGCCAGAGATGACAGAGATCTCAAAGAAGAGCTTCTCGGGGGCGCTGTGCTGGCTGCCGCCCAACACGGGCAGCGCTCCTTCATGCAGGCACGAGAGCTACTACGTCAGAAGAAGACTGGACGGAGGTTCTTCGGGTCGAGCGCCAAGGGATCGCCCTCGCCGAAGGGCAAGGGCGCTGGCCGCCCTCCTCCCCAGTCACGTGGCTCGCCGAGCCAGAGCTCTAACAACAAGGACTGGAGGACAGACCCGAACACAGTGTGCTTGAGGTGCGGTGGCAAGGGCCACGTCGTCAAGGGTTGCAAGGCACCCGCCAAGCTGCGGAGCGGGCGCAAGTACAAGCATCCATCGTCACTCATCATCCGAATGCGACCGACATCATCACAGAAGGGACCGACATCATCTCGGATTCGACCGACACCATCGCAGATGCGACCCACATCATCACAGATGCGACCGACATCATCTCGGATGCGACCGACATGATCACAGACGCGACCGACACCATCTCGGATGCGACCGACATCATCACTGATGCGACCGACATCATCACTGATGCGACCGACATCATCACGGATGCGACGGACATCATCGCGCATGCGACCAGCATCACCACTGGCGCGACTGACATCGATGCGATCGAGACCGAGGTTGATCAGGGGTACTTCCAGAAGGCCTCAGAGATCATCCAGGAGATCCTGGTCACCGAACTGTCGAAACGGCCGACGGGCTTATTCCAAGTATCCGGAAGCCAAGCTCGCGCTTTGATCGTTTATGAACGACATCTTTCTGGCCACTCAGCTCTCGGGAACCTTCCAGGGCATCCTAGATTCGGGTGCGACGTCGTCGATGATAGGACTAGAGCAAGCGGAGGCCTGGCAACTGTCTATGTTGAGACTTATTGGACACAACCGGATGAATGTTCTGCCGGGACCCCTCATTGAGTTAACGTCTGGGAACAACCAGAAAGCTAAATCTTTGAGCCACGCACCCCCACTTGGATACGTTGATTCCCAAGAGTGTGATTTCCCCGTTCCTGTTGTGGATCTGGAAGCACCGCTTCTGATTGGCACGGAATTCCTGACGCATTCCAGAGTTGCAGTTGACTTCGAGGGGGGGTGGGGGCAATCCGTTCCAAGACGGTCAGCGATCAGATTTACTTTCTAGAACGTCCCCGTTGCGGCCATCTCTTAATAGATTTCGGGCCAGATGCCGAGTGGCAGGAGGTTGCGATTCAGGGATCGTTTACAGCGTCTGCCTCAGTCAACATTTGGGCTCAAGACGGCGAAGTTCATCGAATATTATCGCTCAAGGCTGTTCCATATATGATGCATGTGCCATGCGCTGGGCCAAACCCGCCCGGTTGGTCTCGGCAGTCCGGAGCCTTCGAGTCTCCGAGGAGGTTGACAAGCACGAGGCGCGGCTGCTGCGGAGCCCCAGGGACGATTGCGGCAGGATGCAACTGCACGGGGGGCAGGAGTCACGCGTGCCAAGGCAGGTTGCCGTTCGGGCAGCCACCGCTGGTCAAGCTGATTGCCAAGAAGGAGGAGCCCGACCAGGACTCCGAAGATCCGAACATCGGGAAGCAGCAGCTCAACATCAAGTGCGAGTGTTGCGGAGCGCATGGGATGCGCAGAGCGGGCTGTAGCTGCGTCGGAGGCGGGAGTCACCAGCGCCGCAAGATATGCGGGGCGAAGCAGAACTCAAGGCAACAGTCTACGGGGTATTCCAAGAAGGAGTCACCGACAACGAGTCCGAGGCCGCCAGCACAGAGACGGACAGCGACAGGTTCGAGCTCACCTTCGCGGCAGAGGACCACACATCAGCCACCGACCCCGAAGACAGCACCTCCGAGACCCACGATGACCTAAGACGAACCAAGGGTCACTGCGGAGGAGATCGACCTGGAGACCGCCATGAAGAACAACATCCAGTACCCGAACTGGGGCCCAGCGAAGGAGAGACTCTGCGAGCGCATGGAGAGGATGAGGCAGGACATCATTGATGTGAAGATTCCGGAGGAGGACTCCAGGGACATGCTCGAGGAGTTGTTCTGCCTGGACAACCGGAAGAGGTTGCTCATGCTGAAGAAAACGCAGCGGATCGGGAGCTGCAGAAGCGGTCGCTACGGGCAGCGATGCGACCGACGAGAGCAACATAAAGTACATCAACGATCGTCAGATCTATGCGCCCAGGGCAGGTATCCTGAAGCACGAGGAGACGGCAGCCAGGGAAGCTCAATATTTACTTCGAGAAGGACGGCTGGATCTGATGGAGGCGCGCGCACCACCCGACTCCAAGTCGGGAGCCGAAGTGGAGAAGCCGGGCGGCAAGGTCATGGGGCTGGGCAAGCACAATGAGTACGACCTGACAACCAACGCGGGCTACCGCAGGGCTTCGAAGACGATCCGGGAGGCGCTGCCACGCCGCGCGGTCTTCTCACCGCCGCGCACAGCCAGATCGATCACACATCAGAACAGCGACTACGTCTGGAGGCTAAGAGGCGGAAGAACGACAAAGTGACAAAAGCCTGCGTTCTACTAGCCCACCGAGCCCTACATCAAGGTGCAGAGATCGATTTCGAGCAGCCACTGAGATGCGGGACGTGGCCACTGCTATTCCTGGGGAAGCTCAGGGAACAGCTGTTTACAGTACGAGTGGGTGGGCGTGCTCATGGATCGCGCTACCCAGACCAACGAGCCCATCAAGAAAGAGCGGCCGATTGCAACCTCGGACGCCCACCTCAGCCAGACCATCGGGAGGACCTTCTCCAACAAGAGGGGCCGACCACACAACCACCACCACGAAGAGATTCAAGGCCAAGTGACGGAGTTCACAGCAGCCTACCCCACGACGATGTGCGAGAAGTGGGCGAAGTCAATCATGAAGCGCGAAGAGCAGTGTACATGGCGTGCGCGGGCCGGAGGAGACAAGGAGATAGAGTACGACGACTCCGTGCACACCATTACTCGACGCCTGGCTGGCAAGCAGCCAATGCCCTAGTGGAGGAAGGAGCTGGATAAGGAGGCGGACTTCGAGGTCGAGTTCGATTCCAACGGAGAGTTTGAGCGCTGGGAGCGGGAAGACAACGACGTCGCGACCATCGTGGGCACGAACACGGACGGACCCGACCTGGCTCTCAGTTGCGCGGCCATTGGCTTGGGATTCGGACACGAATGCATTCGTCGGGAGAGAGCTCGGGGAGAACATCCTCTCCGAGGAGACATTCTACCAGAAACTGCCCAAGGGAACCAACCGTACCAGGACGAGACTCTACTACAGAGACCCAGCAATTTCCACGACCTCGAAGGATTCCAAACTACCGGATCCACCTCGATCCGAATCGCCACTAGAGGGAGAAGACGGCCAGACACTTTCACAGCTGTCACAGACAGAAAGTGACGAGAAGGTGGGCGCCGTCAAGGTCAACAGTTATCTTCGACGGCTGCACGTCCGACTGGGGCACCGCAGCAACAGGACATTCACCGACGCGCTGAAGAGGGCTGGCGCCAAGGGGCCTATCCTGGAGCTGGCAGCGAAGTTCAGATGCGAGGCCTGCGAGAAGCACAAGAACAAGCAGATGGAATACGCGGTGGCACCTTGCAGTCCGGCGACGCCTGGCAAGGTCATCGACACGGGCGGCTTCCATGGGCAGGACTCGCGCGATCTGCAGGTCTGGGCCGGCACCTACATCGCGCGCACGGGGATCGCGGCTAAGAGGCGG